TGTCAGGAACAAAATAAACTTTGAGTTCTCGAACAAACTGTAGGTGACTGTATCTCTATTGAACGCAGTGTATTTTCGAGTGAATGCGGTTCTGGTGAGTAAGCCCATTGATCGTGTTCCTTCTTGCTCTGAATCGCCGTGATTTCGGCGGAAAAATAGACCAAGGACTTGTAAACAACCTTTAGATATCTGTTAGGCGCGTAAGCTTCATCGCAAACATCCAGATGATATATTAGCAAGGATGCAGGCGTAAAACTCACCTGCATCATAGAACCAGAAATCTTTTTCATTGAATGTGACTGCGGAAAACGGGGAGAGCTCGAAAGCCAACAATAAAAAATAAAATAATAACAGCACGATTAGAGCCACCTTAACACACTTCGATTAGTGGTCGCTTTTGTTCAGCCATCTTCTCACAGCAACAGTAAATTATCATAAGACTACAAATGGTCTAAAACAAACAACCCTTGAAGCATGGAACTAAGCCGATGCTAACTGCCTTGAATCTTGATTCCAGTATTCCACGAAAGCTATTTGATGTTGCACCGAAAAAAGGGTATGCCATTGAATCTTGACAAATCACCCTTCTCACACACTTTGTATATGTGAAATGGAGTAACAACCAAAAAAGAATTATGAATTTAGCTGGGATTATTAAGCAACACTAATACAAGTAGTAATCTCCGTATCTCAACTGAGGAGTGCATCTTTTTTGGTCGTAATGGTGGTGCCAGACGTGAAGGTGACCTTATAATTCCGAAACCCACTAATAGTGACTAAACCCACCATCCTACACCCGAGGTGTTGACCTCACAAAGGCGGAATGAGTGAAGCGGCGCAATAAATGAGAGATCCCGGCGGCTGCAAGGAGACAAATCTGGCTAAAAAGCACACAAAGTTTATAACAAAAGCCCACCTTCAAAAGTCGAGGTGATAGAATGTATTTTGCTGTTAGCGGCCGCAAGGTAAATATGAAGCGGTGAAATGCAAGAAATACAATTGTAAATGCCATTAATATCCATGATGATCCCATAAACGCACCCATTATCTGCAATTCAAGAATGAGATTTTTAACCGACAGTGGTGTATATAGGGTGGGCAAAAGTTACGGTGACAAGAAATATTGGTCATAATAACCCGTGCGGTCGAAACTGATACGATCTTTATACTGGTGGAAAGTTATCAAACAGGTAATCAGTAACTCTTAGGAGTGGCCGCTTTCTGCGTTGATGCAGCAGCACAGTTTCCTGGAAACTCATCCGCACCGTTGTCTATGTAGATGTTACCGAGTAGGTTCAAAGCTTTCAAGAGCGGCTGCTCATCTGATCGTTGTTCCGATTGTACTTATGACAATAGTTTGCCTTCGGCACACTGAACGCATAGGCCCCATTGGAAGAACTATGTTGCCACTTCTCAAATACGATGAATTCACGATATTCTGTTGGCATCTTTTTTTTGACAATCGACGCATTGCGGGAGAGTGCTTAGTCTGCAGTTCTTATTGGAGGCCCCTTAGGCTGAGGCATCGAATGGGTCTAACAGAGTTTGAAAGAATTTTCACTTTAAAGTTCGAACCTTGATCATCTTTTTTAGGGAAAAAAAAAGCTTATTTCAAAAAGGCCCACAATGGTCCCTTTCTGCTCAGATTAGGTTCTCCTTCCATTTTGATATATTTAACACATTGCGTACCGCGTGCGCCACATGGCGGCGCACGGCTTTCCTGCTCTGTATGGCCGCGTGCGCCACATGGTGGCGCACGATTTCTGAATCGATTTTCTTCACAGTTGCTGTAGTCGTTTATTCCATGTTTGTGCAGGCATATGTTATCTCACCAGGAGAACAACATACTTGACTGGGACGTTTCCAAGCGCAATGAAGTTACTTACTTGTAAGCGGAGGGGGGGGTGAAAAAGAACACATTCTAGTAAAAGCCTGGTTGCCAATTAAGTTTGCTTGAATAAAACACATTCTTTGAAGCAAATTCAGCAGTCACCGCAATCTAGCTGTAATACAACTGAGTCGCAATAATCTGTTTCAGCCGAAATCTTAGCGTGAATAAAGTGATGTGCCAACAAAACATCAGCGTAAGTGCTTTCGGAGCGCTTCCTCCACCTCACATGCCTTTCAGCTGTATACTTTTCAAGTCTTGTGGTATTAGGCACTCAAAGTAACCTCTATTTGAAAACCTACTCATGCTCACTCTACCCTGGTATCAAAATCGATGATAAATGTACGGCAAATTGTGGGTGTAATATACCCACCTTAATCCAAGGTCTAGTGAAGGGTGAAATGCGTCTACGAATATCCTGTAAATTGAATAAACGTCACTGCTGGTCAATAAACATGCTTAAATAGATTGTGGGGTGAAGGAACGAACCTGTTTTGCCATCTAGCTATTTTTATAATGAACTTGTCGCAGGCAGATTTTTTTGAGTCCCTCCACAACATTCCTTGTTACATATCCTTCGATAGTAGGTGAATGTTATCACAAGTCAAGCAGGCAAAAATTATGACGCACTTCTCATAAAGTTGTGATTTATCACCACAGATAATAAGGAAACAAAGTGAAATAAGCACGCTATACTCTAAAAAGGATTTCCAAAAATGTCTGCCCCGTGTGGCCGCATGCGCCACCATGTGGCGCACGATGCGCATGCACGCGCGGCCAGGCGAGCTCGCCAGCGCAAAAACGGCCTGGTACGCAATGTGTTAAGGAAATAAATATCCGCTTTTTAGGTTCATGGCTTCTTAATTTTTTGTAAATTATTTTCGAAGATCATGATGCAGTCTCGAAGGCGAGCAATCTCTTGTATATTTTGAAGTGCTAAACATAAATTATTATCTTGCTTCAGCTCTGGCGCTTACACGCGAAGCAAAAGACAGCTTGCCCTACGCTACATGCCTGCATGCTGATATATCGATCATCTAAAATGCGCATGCCACGCTCGCTATTGGAGATTGATATAAAATCCTCTGATCTTCATTCTGGGGGGCGGGGGGGGGGGGGGGGTTGGGGAGGCACTGTGGTGTGAAATAGTTAGTGTCGACACTGTCCTTCGCTTATACATATCTAACATTCACAAGAGCACACATACATAAAGACTGGGGTACATTATTCAGGGCCTTTACCTCGCCTTCTTACTAGAAAGCGCTAAAACCATTTCCTTCTGAAAAGAACATTTGGTTTTGGTCTTGCTCTCAACTACGCATTCCATGAAGATCTCGACCCAATTAAACGGAGGTCAACTGGAATTGAAACAAACATTCCGCTCTGCCTCATGCCGTTGTTCAGCAACTGTATACAATCCATCATGCTGATCAGACACATCAATGTGAATGCGAAATCAGATCCAAAACCACATTTTTTCGAAATCACCTAAACAAGAAGAAACAACAATCTTTCGTAAAGTTCACCAGTTCAACAACCAAGCCTGGATGGATTCAGAGCCTGAGCATAAAGACAAGAAAACACCTTGCAAGGCCCTGAACTTGATGGTTACGATAACCGAAAGTAGTAAAAACAACTCACAAATTGTCTAATTAAATGAAATATGTATTAGGCTGTCAGAAATCTTTTGGTCATACTCGATCTGCAATGTTGTCAAATTTCAGCGATAATTTTGGCCAACGCATTATTGCGGCCAAATAGTAAAAACTCTTGTCAATGATCTTTTTCTAGCATATTTCGTCGTGATTTCTTACAGCGATTATGGCTGAGGCCAATCGTTTGATGAAGCATGTTTTGGCTGCTCAGTTGCACAACCGTGGTCATGATCCTCACATCTTGCGATGGAACCCCCTATGTGTTTTTTAGAGGCATGGTGAGCACTTGGTTGCCGATGCTCAGAAACTCGCGGAAAATGTACAAAATCTTCTGGCTTCTTGATCTGAAAGAGGAGTGTCTGTTTGGAAACAGTCTCCGGGGCATTGCTCAAGAACTGATGCAAAACCTTTCAGAACACAATAGCTGTTCCTCAATATTTTCTCAGAAAGGCGAAGAATATGGAAGTGAATTAGAAAAAAAATTGACAAATGGCGAAAAACTTTTCCGACAACTTAATGCAAAATAATGTAAGGTAAACAAGAATACACGAGAAGCACGATGGAGAGCTGGCTAGTTATCACGTGTACTCTTATGGTAGTGTTCTTCTCATTAAGGGTAAATGGCCAATAAGTTCTCTAAAAGCTTACAGCCATGAAGATCAGTTGCATTATAATAGTCGCCGTCGCTGTAAATAATATGAAACCACCGAAAATACGCTCTGGCAGGAATCCAACGGACTCGCCATCCATAATTAGATGTCGCGCTATTTGTCTGGAAAAGTGGAGTACAATGACTTTCAAGGATATGTGAGCACGTTTCATTGGAGAGCAAATATCAGGTTGTCCTCAAATAGTGTCGGTTTTATTCGACAGTGAATTTTTCCGTTAAGTTACCGAGTTTTACATAGTATGTGCTGAAAAGGAAAGATGATGGGTCGAAGTGGCCATATGCAATGAGATTTACACTGAAGTGCCGCTTTCCGAAGTGCGGAAAGAAGCATTTCGTCAGTTCGGATATTGCGAGTCACAATATCCAGTGAAACCACTGTATTTCATCATGTCTCACATGGCGAATAACAGACATGTTATCGAAAAGCAGCGTGTACTATCTATAAGGCAGGATGCACCTCAGAGCACCTTCGGATACAAGCGAAAACCATATAGAGATTGAAAAACAATTTGGGGCCGGATAGGGTCATCATATAATAGAATGGACTCC